ACTGCATTCGAAGACACAAAGTGTCGAGTCTCTGACTCATATTCCAAACCTATACTGCTTTCTCCGCAATAATTTCAGTTATTAACTTGTGTCTCGCTAATACTAGAACTTAAGAAAAAAAGAAAGGCAGAGGAAGAACGTAAGATTATAGAGAGTTGGCTTTGCTTTGTATCGTGCTTATTCTTACTAATTTTTTGTTTGATCAGTTGTGATTACTAAGCCGAAGAAAAGGAGATGGGAAGTAAATGGTGCCATTCAACCAAATATAGTTCACGCAGTATATTTCGTGGATCCGACAGAGGAAAGTCGTCCACTTCTTGAGAAGATCCAAGAAGGTCAATTTGTCGCTCTGCATGGAGCTAGAGCATCTGGCAAGTCTACGCGGGTACACCAAATTCAGAAGCAGTTGAATGACGAAGGCTACGTTTGCATTTAGTAAGTTCTAATTCTTGTTTGGCCAACTAGGATCGTCGCACGCAATCTAACTATTATCTCTGTTCTCTTCATATATACTATCTCTTTTTCTATCTGGATCAGTGTATCTCTTGAACAAATTAACATTAAAAGCGTTGACAATTTCTGGCATACACTCGGCTCTCATCTCTATCTTGATGTTCCCAAATACATTAGACCCGATAGCATAAATTCTTCTAATGATTTCGATCTAGTGTTCCAGAAAAGCAAGTGGGAAAATCGTGTTGTTCTATTCATTGACGAGTTTGATATGCTATACCATGCAACAGAAGATGTTCTCTCTTCGTGTCTAAATACCCTCCGTGGCATTAAAGGAACAAAAGAAAATTATGCTATCTGGTCTGTTGTTGCCATCGGTCCCTTCAGTATCCTATATTTAAATTCGAATAATTTTACCACATCGCCCTTTAACGTTAATGAGCCATTTAAAAATCCAAATTTCACTCTGGAACAAGTGCAGTTTCTCTACAAGGAATTCGAGGACGAATATAATTTAACTATTGATCAGGAAGTAATTGAGGACATATATACGCAGACAAACGGGTAGGTGACTGGAATTATATATAACTATTTTTACTAAGTCTTAATTTTCTTACTCTATCTTTTTTCAACAGACATGCTGGTCTCGTCTGCCTTTGCGGACGTGCGATCTATAGAAAATTACTTTCAGAGTTAGGAGTGGAAATGCGCTTGAACTATGACATATGGCAACATTTTACTGCCTTCTTGCTAGGAAATGAGATTTTAGAGTACCCAACGTTTATAAGGATGAAGGACGTTCTCCTGAAAGATGATACCGATACTAGGCGTGCTATAAATTTCATCCGATCTGATTTCTTGGTAAATAACGACCCTATATATGTTGCTGAGAATAAAAAGGATCTAGCTTTGTTTCTCACAGCCGAAGGAGTTTTGGTTCCTGGAGGAGATGCTGGGACATTTAAAATTTCTTCACCTTTGGTGCACTGGCTGGTCCTTCAGCGAATAATTCCCTACATGTTTCCGACTTCACCTAAAGTAGAGGTACCCTATCATCCATCCACGGGTAACTTAGACATTCTTGAGGCCTTGAAACAAATTGTCAGTATATTTGATCAAGAAACAATAAAGTCCTGCAATTCTTTTAAGTTAGCACGTGTATTGGTTAATAATGCAAATAATCGAGAAGTTCCTAGAGAATCGATGTATGATGCAGAGCTTTATCGGATCATGTCGAATTGGCTTGGTAGATTTACAGTGACGGGACAGTGGCATCTAAAATATCGTGCTAGTGGACATATTAATAATAAATACGTAGACATAGTCATCTCACGACCTGATCATCCGACCATTGCATTAGAACTCTTAGCTACAGCAACAAAAAAAGAGCTTAAAGAACACTATGAACGGGCACTCTTATACGATAAGAAACTACCTGCAGATGATACATGGATTGTCCATTTCACCTGTGAAGAAAACGCCATTTCGGAACCATGCTGGCCAACCAAGTCTCAACTGCAAAAGGGCCTTCGAGCTGTATATTTCTGGCACAATCTTGATTTTACAAAGATTAAAATGATCGCATGTTGGTGGGATACAAATAATAATACGAAGCATGTTACTGATGTTGAGGAAATAATGGTGCGTTCCATTGTAAATATTTCTTTGATTGATCGCTTTGCATTTCATATTACTAACGACCTCTGCTCGATTATAGGTTACGCAATAGTTATAATATAGAAATTAGGAACAATATCAGAATGAGAATAAATTAGGTGTATTTATTTTTCATCCCTAAATTAGATAGCAAAATCAAATTAATCCCCCATTCTACAAAGAAATGTAGTACGCACTTGTAATTATAAAGCAGTAATAAAGCTGGCCCTGGTGGCCGATTTGCATACATAATCTGTTTACTTTTGCGTGTTTATTTCGGGAATTTATTGATATCAATGTATATTAACTCGTATATAGTCGAGGGGTTTTTCACGCAGACAATAGTATAGACGTCATGTATCACGGGCTAGGTCCCGAACAATTGTATTTATTTTTTGCATGTATTAATAAAATTTTTTCTTGGCATTTTTCTGAGACGGCCCGTCCCGGAAAATTTTTTGGTATTTTTAAAAATATTGAACAATTTCTTCCATATATAAAATTATTATTGATCATGTCAGAAGAAGCTAATCCATCCGAGCTTGAAGTATTGAGACAGCGTATCATTGATCTAGAGGCTGAGAATGCTAAGATTATGCGCGAGAAAGCTGAACTTGAAGCTAGAGATGCTGAGCTTAAGGCCAGAATCGAGGAGTTAGAAAAAAATAAAGGAGTTACTACTAAACTTGAATTTGAGAACGCTGAGCTCAAAGCTAGAGTTGCGAAATTGGAGGAGGATTACATGCAAATGCAAAATGGTAATGTTACCGAGGTAACTAATTCTCCTAACAATAGTTCATCTAACTTATATTCTGTTACAGAGCAAATATTAGAGAGCAAACAGGGTGAGGAAATGGGAATAGATGCTTTCTTGGACGAAGTACATAAGAAAAAGGTTAGTGATGATATTAGGCAGAGAAATCGGGAAAAGAAACATCAAGCCCAAGAGTCTCTTCTAATACAACCTGAAGAGAAAACGTCTCATGATCTCAACTCGGCTATTTAGCCATGAAATAGATCACACAAGAAAAAAGGAATGAATGAACTCAAGCATGAATTATTCAACCTCTCTTCGGAATCGGATACTTCATCTTCTATAAACCATAATAATGTAACTGAAGTTTTTACATGTAAAAAAGTTACCCATGACGGCATTGATGTAGCCTCACAACATCTAGCTCAGTTATGCAACAAGGCCATTGATGCTGAAGATAGGGCAAATCGAGCTAATCAGGAAGAAATTTTATGTTGGTGTCTCTACTAGAAGAATTTCAGAGATCAGCTTAATGAGGTTATCAGAAGCAATAGTAGAAAATTTGGCAAAAAGAAGGCGAAAGGTATACTTTATGATTCTATTACAGAACAGCTTAGTTTGCTTCGTAAACGAAGATCGCAAGAATTGGGGCTACAACTTAGGGATGTATCACAGAATAGCTTGCATAAGAAAACTCAGAGAGCCGAGAAAAACTATAAATTATTCGAAAAAGTGGGTTTAAATAAGATCAAGTATATTAATTCATATAGCATGAATTCCATTTCAGAGCTTACTAATGCGCAATTTCAAGAGATTATAGATTATGGTATATCTTTGGAAAAGTTGTCTATAGAAGCGGATCATGTGACCAAAATTTCTGAGACGACCTGTCTTGGAAAAACCTTACCCATACCTGAAGAAGATTCATCATTCACACCAGCTAATGCAGAGATCAATGTCGCCTATGATGATGTGTATTTTGATGATTCCGATGAATCAATAGACTCGAACCACCCAATTCACGACATTCTCTTGCATGAAGAAATTGCTCGATTAGAGCGAATCTCTAATTCTTTAGGTAATTCAGCACCCACGCCTCAAACAACTCCAGCTAAGGCAGGATATCATGATGATGATGTGTATTTTGATGAAGAGGATGTGGATGATGCTAATATATTCGGTAATAGCACAAATAAAATAATTACCGGTGATTTCACTTGTTCTGATGATGATGAACCAGGATATTACTATGATTTAAGTAGCGGAAAAAAAACTTATAAAAATTCAGATCGTTTAATTAGCACATATTAACACGCGATACTGAAATCCCAATAGCAATAGTAATAGTATAGATTAATAAGTTAATTCAATAGTCTTCACTATTTAATAATCGCAAATTACATTGTAAAAAGGTGCATAAAAATCGTATAAAAATAAAATTTGGTGAGGACATGGGACTCCCACTTCTTTATTTAATATTTTTTTTACCAGAACAACAATATACAAATAAAAATAATTTTTTCCAATTATATATTAAGGAAGGTAATCTTTATCATCACAATCATCATCATCAGTTGAATACTATATATAACTACTAATAGAATTGTTATCCTTAACTCTATCTCCATAGTCTTCGTAGTCTTCATAATAATGCGAAATTGGTTTATCAGGGATATCGTCTAGTTTGAATAGAAAAAGAAACTAAGTTCCAGATGGTATATTTTGAAGAAATTATTTTTGTAGAATATTTACACAATGTAAACTTTACTTACAAGTATAGAGGTTCTCTCGAGTATTATTATTATTGGCCTTAGAGGTATTATTATTATTATTAGTCTTGGAGGCATTATCATCATTGGTCTTGGAGGCATTACTATTATTGGTCCTGGAGGGTTTATTTTTCTTGTTCTTGGTGTTGGTGCTATTGTTATTAGTCTTGGAGGCATTATTATTGTTAGTCCTGGAGGTGATGCTATTATTGGTCCTGGGGGTTTTGGTGGTGGCTTTTTTATTACTACTCATTTTTTCATCCCTAAATAAAAAATATATAATAAGTAGAAATCCAGTTTCACATTCTCTGTTAGATGAAATATACATTACTTTAAAAAATAATTACGGTCAGGTAAAAAAATATACAAGTAAAAAAATATAACCCACCCAACAAGAAACAAAAAAATCACTTATTTTATACCATCCATTTGCTAGATCTAAAAAAACCTGCCAGAAAAAAAAAGTTACATGATTAGTAATTGCAGTAAGGTAATGCAATCTAGATCCAACTATGAAAAGCAAGTCTACTCGCTCATAAGCTCCAAATGCTGAATCTATTTTGCTATTTTTTCTGGTGAAATTAACCTCCCTTATAATCAACGATCACTTAAGATAGATTTAGATCTGATGATCTCGAAGATGCGGAGATTCCAAATCCCTGCAACATATGAATTTCGGTAAAACTACTGATTAAGAATGTTATATACATTGCTCTTATAGCCTTTTTAAGTCTCTTTCTTATCGCGAGATCATATAAACTAAGAAAAAGGGTCTAGACGCTCTTTATATTAGTGCTACTTATTAACTTAATAAAAAATCGACCATGAGAAATGATTCTGCAGAAGAGTGACACTGCATAAAATTTAATGCAGACCATTGACTATTAAAGCCAGTCAAGTTTTTATCGCTATTTTAGCTTCGACCTTTTTTTTTCTTATTTCATTCAAAAAAAAGAAAATTTTGTCTGATCGAACAATTCGAAAAAAAAGATGAATGATTAGATTTCTTTTTTCGAGCCTGCGAGGAAAAAAAAAAAGAGGGCCAAAATAAAAGCAGACTTGTAGGACCGTTAAATTATATGATATGACATAATACATACTTATTTTTTCTAGCATGGATCAAAATAAATCAGTAAAAAAATAAGGAAGTGCATAGCGCTTATTCTAAATTTGTAAATCGGACTTAAATATATATGTAGCATATAAAATTATTACCCATACACCTTTCAGTAAGTTAATAAATTTGCTGTGTCCAATAATTGTTTTTACTGTAGAAATTATCATGCTACGTTAAAATGCCAAATAAAAAATATTAGTTGACTTGTATTTAATTATTGCATACTACTTCGTGCCAGATTATTACATTATATACTGAACTAATAAAAATAAGCCTTAATTTATAATAAAAGGGTCCAGTACAAAGTTCTGTTCTGAATTCAGATGAAAAAAGCAGTTGATAGAACATGGTTGCATTAAAAAAGCGCACATATGTATTTACAAGTATTTTTGAAAACAAACCTGCCCCTCGAATATTCACGGTCTAGTATATATGCTTATTTTAAATTTGTAAATAGCTGAAGTAGAAATCCAGTCCCAAAACAGGGCTGAAACGACATATAGTAAATACAGGCCATCCAAAATGTTATTTCTGATCTATCTAAATTAAAAGTAATATATATATTAAAAAACAATAGCTAATAGAATTTTCTTAATTTACTATTGTCCTTTGATCACAATAATTATGTATCAAAAATGACACTTCAGATGGCTAGTATTTACTATACGTCATTTCAGCCCTGTCCCAAAAATCATGATGCATGTTGATCGAACGCTTTTTGTTATCAGGTAAAACTGCCTCTTGAAAACAAACATATTGTCATTAATAATATGCTCTGCATTAAATTTATATACAGCTCAAAACTAAATATTGATATATATAATCACATAATAAATAGTGCTAATTTAGATTATATAAATTCCTTTAGAGCAATTTTTTACTGATATTCCACCTTGGCTTCATGTCAATAAGACAATCGCTCAAGTTATTTGCATGGGTTCGTGGAATTCAACAGAGCCATAATAGTCCTGTGCTTTAACGAAGGTGATTTGTCTGGTCTGTGAAAATATACAATCTAACTGTATTTAATATATAGTTTTCTCAGATGTAGTTATAGCCTTTTGAGGCAGGCTTAAGATCTGACTATTACCTTTCTGCATTTTTTTTTTTTATTATAACAACACTCCTTTGAGGGTGTGATTGTCAACTATCATTGTCTACGTAGTAAGGAAAGGAAGACCGAATGAGCTTTCTGTGGTTTAGTCCACTGAACTACAAGATAAAAAATAGTTTGAATGTATCCACCTTACTATAGTTTTTTTCTGATAGTCATGCAAAAAATTTTGTTTATAACTTTAGGCAATAGGGCCTCTAACTTTGTTTTTTTATATTTATAAAAACACTATGAGGGCACGATCATCAGACTATAATTGTCTATATAGCAAGAAGAGGAAGACCCGATAAGCTTCCTGCGGTTAGTCTACTAAGCTACATGATGAGAATAGTTTGAAAGTATCCACCTCGAAATCCTCGAAATTTACATAAATACATATACTATTCATATTTTAATCCAGTTTTACGATGAGAAGCTTCGAATCTTCCTAACTCGGTCAGTAAAAAAACGAAAATGACTAGTTGTTTACTATTTTTCTAATGTTATTTTTGAGATCACAATTGAGTGATCGGCGTGAACAATTTGTTTACATGTATGTGAACATATTTTATATTAATTTTTTATCTACTTCCAACACAGGTAGAAAAATGTCGATGTGAAATAAAAATCTATGAAGTATATGTTCCCTTCTCTCTTGAATAAAAATGAATCTGATATTTTATTATCATATACTTGTTACAAACCACTATAAGTCATTGAAATCACTATAAATCAATAAAATCAGTGAAATTGCTATAAATTGCTAAATATGCCCAGTGACATGGTTAAAATAATAATAGATAATATCTATAATAAAAGAGTACCTAAACCTAGCAATCTTCGTCCTGGATATGATATAGAACATGTTTTTAAGTATCAACCTTAAACTGATAACTATCTGTATGAAAAAGTAGTTAAAATAGAAAAAGAATATGATTATTTATCTATTATTAGACCTCATGAAACACCACAGCAATAGGCTAATCATGTAAGAGGTCCTTTACAAGAACTGCTTTCTAAGTGAGAATATAGTGTTTATCATGTATTCTGCCTCTTCACCTCATTTGGAGAAGGAATAACCAAGGCGTATTACAGCCATGTCAATGGTAAGTTAATAGATATTCCATATGAATATTGCAGGCCTAGAGTTTACAAGAGTAAAATGGCTCTCAGTACTACAAATTATTACTAAAATTGACCTTTGGACTATCCAATAGATTAAATATCACACTCCTCTCTCATATATTATTACTAACAACCAAATCTAGGTGAGCCTTGGCCACTCTTGTAGGTTTAGATCACAGATTATATGTCTGAGTCTTTATTCTTCATATGTAATTTAAAAGCAAGCTTTTCTTTGTAAAAACTTTAATTGAATTTCAATAAAGTTAAAGGCATGGCCTTACCACTAATATTTAAAAAAAAAAAAGAGTAAAATGACTATTTGTTTCGATTGCTAGAAATTGGTGAAGATTACTGAAGTAAAACTGAAAAAAGTATATTTTGATGGATATCACAGATGGGGCTATGAAGTTTAGTCTGAAGATTTGATGAAGAATCATTAAAATTACTTTTGCTTCAAAGCTAAAACTGAAGAGGTCCCTTTAGAACCAAATAAATCATATTCATTGACTAGTTTCAAGGTAACCACTCCTTCAATGCAATGTAGTGTAAGTGTGCTCAGCTTAATTAATACCGATAGACCCAGGAAGAGAAATACAAAGAAATTATTTATCTCGTCTCTGTTTGCAAAACAAATTAATTTACTATCATCTTATCTTAATCTACCAAAAGATACTGTATTAAGATTGAGAGATGGGACAAAAATTACGATTGTTTAACTAATCTGACTGATCGATTCTGATATCGATAATATTAATATATTTTTTTTATCTACTTTCAACACAGGTAGAAAAATGTCGATGTGAAATAAAAATCTATGAAGTATATATATATTTATTTTTATGATTTTTGGGCTAAGCCTATAATATAATTAAGTGCTTTGGAAGTTTGTGAACAAACAAATTATCTCAGTTGATTCACAATTTGACTAATTCTATTCATTAGCTAAGGCACTTTTTTTTTTGCACCTCTGTCTTGCCTCTATTTCCTTCTGCAAGTTCAATGGTATATCGAATCTTAGCTGAATTGCTAGAGGATCATCCTCCAGCCTACTGAGATCAAATACAACAAACTCACCTTTACGGAGGTAGCTATTAATAAACATGGATGTGCCCTTTACATCATCAGTATATCGGCCAGCTATCTTGGACACATCTTGATAACTACTTCCCTCATTATATATTACTAGAAGGGAGATATTCTCACGAATAATAATTGGTACATGAGATATTTCTGAGTAACTTAGTATGGAGAAATATTACGATGTCGCCCATGTGTAAAAAATGGTATAATGTGATTTTGGATAGACTTGGGAGCAACACATACATCCTCAAAAATGATTACAGTGCTCCTCTTAGGTGAAAATGATTTCATACTAGGAATTTGTTTTGGTGATATGTAACTGAATCTAATGTTCTCATAATAGGGTGCTTTGGGATTACTTGCTATTATTCCATACATATATCTAACGAATGCCCATTTTGGCTCATTAAGATGGTAATCGCAAACTATTAAATTATCGCATCTAATATATCTGGATCCTTCTTTTTGTCTTTTATATATATATTTACATTTATCTCCAAGAACATGATTTGCTAGTAAATTGGTCTTATCTGTACCATTTCTTCTGCTAACTATCATGCTGAAAAGCCATATCATTGCTGGATGTCCAACATTTCGGGATGATTCGTGCTTTGTGGCCTTGTCCATATCCATAAAGTAAAGTTTCATAAATGGTGGTTCTTTTTTTTAGTTCTTTTGTATGACAGATTGGGAATCCATAACTCTGATTTTTATTTAATGATATTTTATAATTCGAAATATTTTTTTCTTTATTATGGAGCAAAATAAAAGAATATAGATAAGAGAATATACACTATAAAAAGTATATAATTAGTAATATTATTATTATAATAAAGACCGCATTCTGCTAAAAGAAGGAATTGAGTGATACTAAGATTATTTCGAGGCTAGTGATTTCGTTACCTTCCTCTGGTCCGCTATCATCTCCAATCACTTCATTAAATGCACTGGATGCTTCCGAAATTTGCTTTGCTAAATGAGTATTAGTTTCTTGAGAAAGGGACTCTTTTTCCAAAGAGTTCTCAGCTGAGTCTGGATCTGCTTCAGCTCCATCTATTATGTTTGGTTCGTGGGATGACTGGGATATTTGTTGTTCTAACTGATCTTCCAATTCTCTCACTCTAGACCTGAGACAGCTAATTAACCCATATCTACATATTAGACCTCTTTTTACTTTCTCTAGCTC